AAGTCAGTCAGGAGGCCGAACAATCAACGCTTGGAAACGGGTGGTGCAAGCGGTGTTTGGGGGGGGGGGTAGATAACCGGACAGCCCAAGAGGTCGGGCCGGCAGCACAGACAGGCAGTTTCGATGAGAGCCGATCCTGTTGTGAAGGCTGACCCATTAGACAGTGCATGAAACGTTATCGATTTCGTGTTAGCGTTTAAGCTTCGTCACATGACGTTAGCCTGGAGCGGAGTACTTCCATGTACTTGCCCCAAGTGATTTTCAGCTCTCCCTGGAATTTCTGGTCGAAAAACGGAGCATTCGCAAAACATGCCCAAACCATCGCATTTGTGATTGCATGAAAGTCGGAAACATGCATAACGCTAACGTTAATATTCGAACCCTAAAGATAATCGATTCTTCCTTACATTATACCACTACAATTCATTTGTTCGTCTACTAAAGTATTTTTTGTTTGTTTTAGTTTAATTGTTATTTATTAGCTTATTAGTTTGCGCATTTTTCTTTTCTTTCATCTGTGCTGAAATTCAAGCTTCTTTAACGATTTTGCGCCCGGAGTAAGCGTTTGCTTTCAATTTTAAGAAAGTTGGGTTAGTTGTGTTTATTGAATAGATTCGATTAGTTGAAGCTTGCGTATATGCAGCTGTTGAAATCTTCTGTTTTAGTTTGCTCTACACCCCCAGAATTGGCATCTTGTTGCCTCCGTGGAAAAAAAGAATACCTCACAGGAAGATCGTGTTTACACAACCTCAGAGTTTCAAGCACCTGTCAGCGGATTTCTACGGTTTGTTGTCTGGCAGCGCTTCAGGAAAAGCGATGCTTAGATGGTGAAAATGAAGCTAGAAAACGGCATAAGTGCTCATTAGCCGGCCCAAATGACGTTGAAAAACATTTTGAATATGTAAGTAAATTAATGTTCGATGTATAACTTTATTTTGTTCTGTTTTAAACGTTGTTAATATATTTATTATGAGGGCGTATCGCTTTAACTATATCACGTTAAATTTTAATTTTATTGCGTTAAAGTGAATGAGATTTTTGTGTAAGAGTGTATTAATATGACTCTGATTAGCAAACATAACGCCGATTTCTGTTTTAAAATTTTAATTTTGCATGGTTCCAACGAAGTAGAGACTGTATAGTTGTCGCTCTACAGCTCATTTTGCTATTTTTTGTACTGCTTTGTCATAAATATGGGATCTACGCCAGAGTTCATTAGCAGAGAGAAACATTGTTAAAAGGCCAAATTTCATGAATTACTGCACTGCTGATTTTTGGTAGCTGTCCGGAGATGTTAAAACTTGACACGGCTACATTCTGTTTAAGCACATGCATCGATGCATCTTCTTCACTACATCTCTTCGTGTGACTGCCTATCTCTAACGCGATGCTACAGTTTGATGGCAGCGGTTTATTTCTAACTGAGCCGATTATGAACTTTGTTAGCCAGTCACTAGTCTATGCCTGAAAATGTTCGCATGATGTAACATTAAAATGCGCATGGCCTCTGAAACACTCTAGACTCGCATTTGACTCTAGACACTCTAGAAGCACTCTAGACTAAGCATTTGACATACACTCATTTTATGAGATCATGATACTTTAGCTAGCTTCTGCATTGAGCTTTGTCTTCGTTCACTCACTCCAGCCTCAGTCCTAAATTTTTAAAAGCCCAACGCTAGAAAACTAATGCTCAATTCTGTTAATGTTCGGCAAAATTCTTCTGTCAAATTCTTCTGTCTGTTCTCCCGATTTACACTGAGTAGTCGCATCGTCCTCCTGCTTTTAATAGCTTAAGATGTGGTTAAAAAAGTCAACCAAGTGCCATGGTATTTTAGCACCGGCAGTGCATGGCTGCGAAACCACGTTACTGAACAGAGCTGAACAACAGCCTGTCGAAACACCTACCATATATATATAACCCCGGTATTATGAATTTGCTCCCACAATCGATCATCGAGAGCTTCCTTTGTTTTCTTCTGCTCCTTGTCGTATAGGTCGATAGTGTTTCAAATTTTAATCTTCTTGCTTCTTATATCCACTGAATTTAAGCACTTTTCAAAATATGATTCATTTATTTATAGGTAAATATAAGGAATTTTGTTGCAGTGATTCACATGGACATATAGAGTTATTGTAGTTGGCTGTATGCGGAACTGGTCTTGATTATTTTCTAGATGAACAACTTATTTCCTTTCTCAGTATCCATCATCTAAGACGCACATAGCGGTGAGCTGTTATAATTTATGTTGCTATTGTTTTTTCGCTATTTTCATATGTTCACTGTAAGGTGAACATCACTAATTAGTCATTAATTATTTTACTGATAATCAGACTGTGAAATTTTGTTGTTATTTGTTATTGTTTACTTGTGTCGTTAATATGACCTTTCAGAGCTTTACACAACTGGCTGTCAAAATTTAACTGCATTTTACAGGAGTGCTGTGAATGTTGTCTTCTTGCTAAGGATTTGTCAGTTGGATCGCATTTAGGGCATTCAGTTAGTGCTCAATGCAACCGAGCTTTTGAACGTTGTTCACACGTTGCGAACAGGCTGAGCAACATGACCAGTAAGCATTCGTTTGCTGTTTGTATAAGCTTCTTTTGAACAGCTGCATTTCTCATTTAAGGATCGAAATGGTCTGAGATGGCAGGTAGCCATTGCGACACGTTGCACTGCGAACAACTCTGCAAAGAAGACACGAAGAAAGGGGCACAGTGTTTTTGCCGTTCTGGTTATAAGCTGAACGATGACGGACTAACTTGCTCCGGTATCTAAAGTATTTTTGTGCTAGCTACTATGTTACATCAAATGCAGGGTTTAGCTGTCGAAATATTTCTCCGTTCCACTTTTTGAAAAGTATCAGGCAAAGCTTTGATGGAGTTATCCATTTATCACATGAAACCGACCTTGGATAATGAACGCTTAATTATTTCTGTGAGAAACCACATGGTAGGTGGTTAAAACAGATTTTGAGCCGGATGGCTTGAACATATCGATGAATAGTATTGACTCCCCACTTTACTACCCAGTAAGCATTGCCCATCCTGTTGACAGGTAACCTGCCATTCAACAAAATTCCTGAACATACAGCCCTACAGTCCTAAATATAAAGCTCATATATCGGTCTTCTCGTTAATGAATGAACGAACTCTTGACCTCATTCTTTGCATCTTGACTAACAGTCACGTGAATGTAGTGAAAGTAATGTTTCATTGCGAAATCATACCGTGTTCCTTGTTTTAGTAGTCTGCGCAACTGCGGCACATTATGTTTATAATTTATTAGCTTCCTTTCTGTAGAGTACATAGTAGTAAACATTTAAAGTCTTTTTTCAGTAGTTCCATTATCCGTTTTCTTTTAGATGTCGATGAATGCAACGAAATGGAAAAATTGTGCAACCTTACGACTCAGATTTGTCGCAACACTATCGGTAGTTATGTATGTGACTGCAAAAACGGATACGCATGGAACGCCACTACAAACACCTGTGTTGGTACGAATAACTTTTCTCAGTAGTACGTGCAAAGTGACTTAAACTTTTTCAGACATAGACGAGTGCCTCCTCTTCAGAGACAACTGTTTGCCTGGGCAGCGGTGTATTAATGCCCCGGGGTATGTAGAAAATGCTTTAGCAATTAGAATAAATTTGTTTTGTGCTGATATCAGGTTCTTCGAACTAGCATTATCTCTCGACTCTGATATGAGTCGATAAAACTTTAAATTTTACGAGTAGTTACATGGATGACAAGTAATACTAGGCAGTGACATCGCATGACTTATTAGTGAATAGACAGACAAGCGGTACCGAGCTTGATCTTTGGCCTGGACAGACAGTTGACCAGAGGACTGTCAGTATTGTTTGGTCGAATCATTTACAATAAAATAGGGGCCTTGCATTATGGCATTTGCCTGTTGGTTGTGTTTCTGCCTTTGAATCTATAGCGTTTATAATATTTGAATTTTATTTAGACAATTAGTCATTTTCGATTTTGAGCAGTGTATTACCTGACGGTACATTCCCTGCAAGCAAAATTTATATAACATACTGCCGAGGCTATGTTTTCACCTACCTGTCAGACAGTGAATGGTCTACAACGTAATGATGATATTATGATTAACAATTTACGAAAATGTAATTTGCTGGTATTTTACTAATTGGCTAATTTACTGATTAGGTAATGTAATTTTATTCGCTACTTATGCTAATGTAATATCGAATTTCTGGTTGTATTTTTGCCATTGAATCCATATGAATTTTAGTTCAGCCGATATTAGGGGTTTGCGAGTCAAACAGTGCATTACTTCATGCCATGTTCACTACAAACAGAATATATAAAATACTGTCAGAAATGTGTTGGTCTAAAACGTAATAATAATGTGATCAGACAAATATTTATGCTAATGTTGTCTATTCCTGATACGCAAATATTAAAACTGCGGATACTTAGGTCGAAAATTGGAGAATAGTTTGTATGCGTCTTATATTAACGGTGCCAGGCCATGAATTCTGAGTAAAATTGTGCACCCTAAGAAGTGATATTGCACACAGCGACCGCGTGTAAGTCATGTGATTAAATCATGAAATCGGGATGAAAATTTCCTAGTTTTCTCCTCAACAGCACCAATTATTGAAGATCACACTGGTGTGAAGAATCTGCTATGTAGACTTGGCTACATCTAAAGATGATGCCGATAGCAGCAATGAAAAGCATTCCTTCGTATATCCTAGTTCTCCGTCCAGGTGGTAGTCTGACTTTAGTATGTTTTGAAAATGCTCTTACCGGATAAATACGAAGAATTATCCATGGTCCGTCAACCTCATTTTTTGTAGGAATATTTTCTAGTTTCCTTATGGATAGATATGCTTCAAAGACATTGAGAGACCTTTCGTTCCTCGTTTACCGGTAACCGCGACTGCAGAGTACCGAACAGTAAATTCCTCTGCACCTCAGGACGGTGACATGCTTTCATTCATAACGTGAGCGCAGATCTTGGATTACAAAGAAAACGTTCAAAGATGACTTGTATTTTGATGGTTTCACAAGGCATATGAAAAGTAAAATATAGATATAGATGTTATATCATGTATTTTAGTCGTGTTCTGTCATTTGTAGGTGGTTGCTGTTTTTTATATTCAGAATCGTCAAGCAGTATAATAATCTAGAGGGACCTAACGGTTGTAAACAGTATTGACTATAACTGCTGTGCCGATTCTGATGTTAATAGTTATCATTAGGTCTTGGAAGTGCATTCGTATTCTAAGCTGTGGCACTGGATATTACCTGAACTCTGATTCAGAGAATTGCGTTGGTAGGTTTGGTTATATCAAGGCGTCGGTCATAAAATAACCCACCTTGGTGCTTTAGATATCGATGAATGCACCCTGGGAACGCACAACTGTTTGCCAGGTTACAAGTGTCGCAACACACACGGTAGTTTCCGTTGTGATCCGAAGGTTTGTCCTCCTGGCCAAAAGATGGACTTTAAAACGGGACAGTGCTTGTGGAAGAAGGAGGTGTGTAGGGTCGGTTTCGAGGCGAATTCGGACGGTATTTGCCAAGGTGATTCGGTAGAGTCAGATTTTATGGCGGTACCACGTTTGTTAGCACATTTGTTTTTCGTTTTAGATGTCAACGAATGCCGCGAACAAACCAACGTCTGTCCGCCAACACATCGCTGTGAAAATACCATAGGTAGAGTGGCTGACTTGCCTTCTGTCGACTTCAGATACTAATGATCGAATATTTGTGATTTAGGGTCATACATTTGTGTCAGAGCTCAGAGCTTCTGCAACAGCGGCTATGAGCAGGATCCTAAAACCGGGCAGTGCATAGGTGGGTCGATACTTATTTACTTTGTATTTTTACTTCTGCAGTCCTTTCAGTTTTATAGCTTCCCCGTCTCACCTGTTGTCATGACTGCATAGGTCGAGACATGGC